TTGGGCCCCGGCGTCCCAGCCCCCCGACCCCCGGAGCCCTGTCTTCGCGGTGCCCCCCGCACCCGGGGCCCCAGAATCGTGGCTCGGCGCCCCTCACCGCTGAGGAGTGCGGGCGCTGCCGCGGTCGGTCCAGCAGCCGCTGCCCCCTCCCCCGGCTCCGGCTCCGCTGCCTCCACTCTGGACAGGAGTCGCCTGTCCGCCGGCCGCCGACAGCGGGGCAGGGAACCCGCCCCCACGGCTCCGCCTCCGTGCCGCCCATTGAGCCGTCTGCCCGTCACTCAGCTCAGGCGCTGCCGTGATTGGGCAGCTCTCAACGGCGCTAGCCGCCCATGTTCCGCCCCTGTCACCCGGCCACGCGCGCACACTTTCCGGACAGTGATTGGTGTGGGTCTGATTGGTGCACGCTGGGCTCAATCAATCACACCTCTTCGTCCTTTGGGCTTGTCATTGGCGAGAGGAACAGAGGGCGGTGACTCCGCTCGCCCTTTGATTTCATTGGTTCGTCTGTGGTGCTCCGACTCAAGCCTGAGGCAACTATTTTAGTCCAATCTGTGGTTTGAGAAGGTGGGACGTACTGGCCGTCGCTCGAATCCCGGGAGAACCTTCTGGAACCTGTGCAACGTCAAAGGCAACCTTAAAGGAAAAGTGCCCCCAGCGCTTGGCCTTCCTTTAGGAGGGTGAGGGAGAGAGGACGGTGCGTAGACCAGGGTCGAGAGGTCACGCCTTCCCGCCTCGAGAGGTCACGCCTTCCCTCCTGCCTGCCACAGAGCCCAGCCCGACCTGACTGGGTTACCTAACCTTGACACTCAGTGACCTGACGTGACCCTCCTGAGTCTCAGGGCAAGTCCTCGAGCGTGGGGCAGAACCGAGGTTCCCTTTGGATCTGCCCTTGTCGGTACCTGAGTGGTCCACAGGCTCAGCCCCGTGGTGACTGGGCTTCGGAGCCCCCTTCTCGTCCACCCCGCGTCCCCTCCCCTCGCCCGCCCCCTCGAGCACCCCTCCGCGGCAGCCCCCGACGTCAGTCTGCCCGCAACCTGCCTTCTGTGGCGTCCGGTGCAGTGTGAGTCGTGCCCGCACAGGCCGGAGCCCTGCGTTCCCCTCTCGTGACCCCGTCGTGACCCCGGGATCTCCGCTCTGTCCCCTCGCTCCCTAATCTCCTGTCTCCCGCGCTTTCGCCTGTCCTAAGGCCACTGCTAACCCACTGCCCTTCCAAGGGTTCCGACCACTAGCGACCCTGGAGGACGCGGAACTGCCCCGGAGGGTCCCCAGGGCCGTGCTCTTCGCGAAGCCGGCTGCGGCATCTCGGTCCTGCGGAGCAGGTGGTGGGTTCCAGACCCGCTTTGGGTTAGCGGCCGAGGGGTGGCGCGCCCGCCTCACTCCTTCTTCCCGGCCGCCCGTGACCCCCTTTCGCGACTCCCTCGTCTCAGTGCCCCTCCCCCGGAATCTCAGGCTCAGTGTCCCCGCTGCTCGGAGCGGGCGGGGCTGCGGAGGCGGCCGCCAGCGGAAGCCGCCGTTCGCAGACGCCGGTGCCTGGCACCCACGTCACTGTCTCCTGGCCCATCTGTCTCGAGGCAGCGGGGGTGGGGAGGGGTAATCCGAGGGTGAAGGGGCGGAGGGAGGGCCGAGGAGCCGAGAAGGGGCCGGGGCGCTCACCTCCCTCTCTGTTGCTGCGCCCCGCGGCAGCGGTGGGACCCCCATGAGGTCATGCAGGCTGGGTAGAGCTGGAAGCAGGCTTGGAGAGCCTGAGCGCAGAGCAGAGCAGGAGGGGGGGCCCAGGGGTGCCAGGGTCAGGTCTGCAGCGTCTCCAGACCCGCTGCCTTTTCAGCCATCAGTGTGGGGGTCCCAGGTGTAAAGGGCGTGCAGTGTGGAGAAAGGAGGGGAATTGGGGTGA